CTGCTCATATTCTGTATAGCCATTAGTTATGGGACAAAAACCAAGAGTAAAACCTAAATTCCTCTCTTTCCCAAATTCCCTCTCCAAAACACTGCCTGCAAAGAAAAGCATTATAAGGTTTGATCATATGCTCCTTCAAGTATCCTATGATTCCTTCATTTGATTGCTAAAATGTTTAAAGGCAGGATTACAACTCTGGAACATAACTAAAATTTTCAACTTTACTCAATTCAACTGTATGTAATTTGCCTAAAATTTTCACCAATCAAACACTAATAGAGAAACTAAAAATGGGAAATCCATTGAGGCCACCCACAAACTGAAAAGAAAAACCATTTTCAAATAGCATGATCGAAACCAACCTTTTTAGATGACAGAAATATCAGGGTTCATGAAAACTGAAGAGAATAACAGGGAAGTTACTAAGAGAACATGGTTACCGCCATTTTGCTGCTGAAAGATTAAAACCTTCCACAGGATTTGAATGTGTAACAATGTTAAAGAGTGAAAAAGACATAATGGGTACTAGATTATTTACCTATTTTGGAGAGTTGAAGGACTGGAGCGGTGGAGGAATGCTTGGGATCCCAAAGCACCGATCTCAGCAATTGTAAAGAGGTGAGAATGAGGTTGATATATATGGTAAAAAAAAGGGCTGAGTTGGCAATTGGATGCTGACAAAGCAGCCACGTAAAAAATGAATTTTTGGAAAACCTCATAATCTCCTTTTTCCGCAAAACTATGTTCTTTTTTTCCACTAACTTATCTAGCAAGGAAAGCATAACATGAACTGATTTCATTTTAAATAATTATAGATATACAATATGGCGTAGCATTATATGATTAATTATTTTTATTTGAGATTATATGTGTATGGGTACATAATTATTCTTCTCGGATGATTATAAAGGAATATCCCCTGATTGTTTAATGTAAGGGGATATACAATTATAAAGGCATATCCGCTTCGGACCTAGCACACACAAGAAAATTTCCCTTGTTGACTACAATTTAATCTACCAAGTTTGTTTAATATCAAATTATATTAGGTAAAATATTGTATGGAGAAAAAATTGTAGTAATCAATCGAACTAAAAGTTTAGATACATTTTCCAATGCAATTTTTTTGGTTTGAATAGTCAAAGTTCTCATATATTAGTTTTTGTATATCTCGAAACTAATTTTATCTTTATATAATCTTAAAAGCACACCCACTTTATTAACTTGATGTGTTTAAAAAAATTAATGCTAACTCAATATTTAAATTCTAAACTTGATTTACAAAATAACACTCATTCTTCATTAGAAACTACCTACAAAATTAATAACTATAAACTAACTACAAAATTAGTCTCAAGGTCTAGGAAAACTAGACCAAAGAAACTCTAACGGTCAAAAAAAAAAAAAAAATAGGAGAACCCTTAAACTAAGCCGTGATGTCACAGTTAGACCGAGCATGAAATTTTTAAACGAGATGACAGACAAGCAGGTCTTGAATTCCAATTTTCCTAGCTCAAAGTTGGGACGATTGCCGTTAAATATTGTAGATCCAAAATGTAAGCCACCAAATTCTCCTCTTCAGACAGATTGTGTTTCATCATTCGTTGCGGTTCCAGTCAAAATCCCGAACTCTTCTCACCACATTTTGCGCAGGGCACCACGGAAGGAGCACTATCACATGTCAAACTCTCTTCCCGTTTTATCTATTTATTTGCAAAGTCTCACTCTCTCCACATGTATTTGTGTGCATTAGCTAGTGTGCTTGGAAAAAGAAGAAAAAGAGGTAGCAATATAGCAAAAATGTCTGACACTATACTAGTTTTTGCCTTGTGTTTGTATCTTGCAGCTACTTTGATCCATGGATCAAATGAATCCAACCAAAGAAAGGTACATATATATCTTGTTCTCTCACTTGATGTAGCGCTCAATATTTAAATATAAAATCTCTTAGAATCTCAATCTTGTTTTGATTTTTCATACATGAGACAATATTGATTGATTTTTCATACATGAGACAATATTGATTCAGATCTATATAAATAAAAATATATTATTATCTATTATTTTAGTTTTCTTTTTAATATTTTCAGTTCATTTTGTATTCAACAACTTTTTTTCAATAATATGTTGTTTAAAAATTATAATAAGCAATTGAGCTAAATATATGTTCATTTTGAAAATTAAATTGACAACAGCCGCATATAGTATACATGGGAGATGTCCCAGATCCAGAGGTCTCTGTCACCAATGTTCATCTCAATCTACTTTCGAAGGCAATTGGAGAGTAATCATCAAAATTACTGCTTTTGTTTTTTCTTTTCCTTTTACCAAATTTCATTGTCATTATACTGTTCATTAATTTAGACAGTTCTTGATCTGATGAATTTATATTTTACCAATATTTCTCTTAAGTGAGCAAATAGCCAGAGAGTCAAAAATACATAGCTATGGCAAGAGCTTCAATGGGTTTGTTGCAAACCTTTTGCCCCATGAAGCAAAGAAACTATCAGGTCGGAATATGTTGAATTGAAGTTTCAAGTTCCTATCAATTGGAAACACCTTATTAAGCTCACTCCCTTTAAGTTGAGCTTTTTTATTTTTCATTTGGTTTACAGAGGAAGATGGTGTTGTATCAGTGTTCGAAAACACCAGACGCAAACTTCACACAACAAGATCATGGGATTTTCTTAGAATGCCTACATCATGGAAGCTAAGGAACCCTAAAGTCGAAAGCAATATCATAGTAGCCTTAATGGATACAGGTATAGCAAAACATATAAAAACTTTACATTTTAGGGGCCTACAGGACAGCAATGTTGTGATACAGACTTTTTTGGTTGACTTCCATTCTTTTCATGTCAATTACTACTTGTAGGGATTTGGGTGGATTCCCCAAGTTTTAGTGACAAAGGCTTTGGTCCTCCTCCACCTAAATGGAAGGGAAAATGTGATAAAGGATCAAACTTCACTGGCTGCAACAAGTACTGTTTTGCCCTGTCTCTTTATACTGCTATTTCCTATAGATTTAAATTTGAAGTTAATGTTTTATAGTTCATACTGCACAAGATTGCAAAACATGAATGGTAAACAAGAGGGATTCACTTCTACATTTAGAGGCTTTCATATGAGAGTTTATGTTATACAGTTAAGATTACATTAGACTACATAACAATTTTTTCTAAAATATGTGGTGTGTCTCGGTGTTATTTTCAAGGTAGTTTGTATCGTACTATACCGGCCAGTACGGCTGGTACATACCGGTTTTAGAGGTTAACCGAAACAGAATAAGTTAAAATTTCGTTTCGATCAAATTTCGAGTGTACCGGCCGAAATTTCAGGTACCGGCTAGTACACCGAAATTTGATTAGTACATTATGTAAGAAGGAACAAAAAAAAAAAGAATCCCCAGTCGAGAAGGCCGCCGAAGTAGAAAGAAAGTCGTTGGATCTGCACCGAATAGAACAAGAAACAGCAAACAAACAGAATCCTTAGCCGAGAAAGCCGTCGGAGAAGAAAGAAAGCTACCGAATCTGCACCGAACAAAACAAGAAATAGCAAACAAACATAATCCCCAACCAAGAAGGCCGTCGGAGGAGAAAGAAAGCCGCCGGATCTGCACTAAACAGAACAAGAAACAGCAAACAAACAAAGAACCAACATATAAACAAACAAACAAGCAAACAAACAAACCAAAAAAATCCACACAAAACAAAAAACAAAGCCACCAGAGGGGCTACAGAACCAACGGGCCACGGAGGCCATCGGAGCTCGGAGCACATAGTTGGCTCCATTGTGCTTGAGCAGCTGGGAGGCCCGGCGACTCAAGCAGCAAAACACGGAAGCCCGAGGGCTTCCGATCAAAACCGCAAGGGCCAGGAGAGAAAAAGAAAGAGAAATAAGTGGATACCCTGAATCCCTGACTTCTCTTTTTTGAACAAAAGGTGAGGGGCATGGGGGAACAAACAAAAATTACTAAGAGGGTTTTAATTTTTTAAGTGAAACATTCTTAATATTTATTGAGAATTTGTTTAATTACCCTTCTTAATTGAAAAAAAAGAGTCAATCTTTTTAATTTTTATAAGATTTGCTATTATTTATTTAATAATTATCATTATTTTAATGTTTTTAATTTAAACCATGTAAAGTATCTTTGTTTGGGTTATAATGGGTTTAGGTTAATGGTTGAAAAAAAAAGGATTGTTACTCATTCAAAAGGTTTTTTTTTTTTAATTTTGTCTTTAATTACATTAATTTTTTTTATAAAAATATTTTTATAGTGATAAATCTGAAACGGTACACGAAAAATTGCGGTATCCAGTACGTACCGTTCCAGTAATAAAATCGATACGCATACCGGTACGATATTGACTCCTTTGATTTTTCCCGCTGCATGGGGATTCTCGCTATGGGAATGGAACGAGAAAAAATATTCCTTCTTGTAAGGCAAAGACGTGGGACATTTATTTTTTCCTTGTAAAATTTTGTAAAGAATTTTCTCTGTTTTGTGGGGCTTGCAAGAATTCCTGTCCTTGCAAAAAAAAAAAAAATAATAATTTACTTTTCAAATTTAAACCCAAATCCAAACCAATTAAAATTAAACTTATCAAATAC